TGGAGATAAAGCTGTTGCTGCTGCCTTGTCTTATGGAGATGCAACTGTTGCTGTTCCCTTGTCTTATGGAGATGTAACTGTACCTGGCTTCCTTGTGTTATGGAAATGTACCTTCTCCCAGTCTGTAACCCTGTGTTTTTCCATGGACCCCAATTCTAAAAAAATCCCTAAGCTTGCCTATGTTCCCCCAAAATTCCAGCTTCAGAACCATGATTCTGACACATGGCAATTTATAAGTTCAACAAATGTGAAATGCTAAAAGATGTGAACAGCTGCTCTTCTGTTTAAGTTCAGAGTGCTGAAAAATTTTGGTAATGACTTTATTTTTTCAGTTAACATAACCGGCCCACAATACAGCATATAGGTCATAAAGTATAAATCTATGGAAGGTAATATCTTCACTAAGTTACAAAACTTTGGCAAATCAATACAGTACTCTTTCATAGAGTAAAGATGAAGTTATATATTACTTGAGTGATAATTTTAACTCCAAAAAATTTCATTTACGTACCAAATTAAAACACTGTGGTTTTTAAGGGTGGTTTATAGCAAGCAGAGCAAGTTATTTTATATAAAGTTATATCTTTTAAAACTATACAATTTCTCCTTTGAAAGTGAATTCCCTCTTGAAGTTTCCCACAGCAGAGCAATTGTGTCTTTTGGAGGTGGCTCTGCTTTGTCCTGGGGTTGGTCCAAAGCCAGGTAGAGTTCCAATGCATGAAAAGCTTTAAAATTAAACCCGAAGGAGACTTAATATGCTAACACCGATTTCCAAGTACCTTTCAAAAATTGTTAAATTCTCACATAACTATGGAATCTTCAAAACCAGAGTCATTTCAAACAACACTAACAATTTCAGATGCTCCCTGTTATTTAGAAACATCGTACCTCCCTGTTTTGATCAAGTTACATACCCTTTCTTCGGCTTCCAAAAAAATTCTACCTAAAATGTAGTTTTTTAATATATTTTTTAAAATGACAATAAATAGAATGCCAGCCAGTAGAGATCTGGGGGACTGGGTGTTGTAGACCAACGTTCATCATTTCTCTACAAATGCTGCTGCCGCCATTGGCATCCTTATGCCTCCTCTTGCTGAAGCCGTCAATTCTTCGATCTCAGCGTTTAATGTATGTGTCACCCATTCCACTGCTTCCCGGCCTTTACGAGCATTTGAGGATGCCATGCTCGCCATCAGCCCTTCCAGGTAACTACTGAGGCTCACTCCTTTCACAGTGATGATGGCCTCTTGAGTCAACACAGTTCTTTCTGGGCCCTGCGGATGTGGTTTATATACAAGTCTCTCATCTACTGAAACCATACTTGTAAATGAAAGAAATATTAGTGGATTTAAGTTCCATTGTTTTCTCTACAGGGTCAACTACAGAATGTTCTTGCACATATGTTTTGCTTCTTGCCCCACCAATCAGAGATCTCACAATGGAAGGCAGGCCCCACTCTGTGCTGAGCAGTCTATGGCTGTGCAACTTTCCAGAAGGATCTACATGTCTGTCCAATACATCGACTCCAACCATGCTTGGGTTCATAGGGTTGGATATTTCTGTATTGCGGCTATTGTAACAGTTTCCCATGGATGGTCAAAGACGTGCTCCGACGTCCAAATCTTCATGGTGCTAGTGGCCTGTGCGGTGTCCCGGTGGCCCAAAGAGGCGGAGAGGCCAC